TGGAAGACTTTTTCTTTGCTCCTATTCAGATATAAAAATTCACTTGGCATACATACAGTCCCAACTCTCATGACATGTGGCTTTCATAAACTTTCACTTTTGTGAAGAATTAGCCAAACCAAAGTTGCTGTGTTATAATAAATCAAGAAGGACGATTCTGAAGTTTGTGCCTCCAGCAATTTACTTTCCATAATTTGTATTTTCCTAATAAATTTATTTCTCATGTAACAAATTAATTCTTTCTGTAAATAGAAATGATTAGTTTTTATCATGTCAGAAAATTTCACTCTTCATACACATTTGATTAAATCAATTTCCATCGGTTTTAATTAGTATGTTTAAGACAAATTTTCTGTTGTTATATGCCTACAGTCAAATCATGTTGAAAATACTGGTTCTTGTTTGATCACCAGAGTTAAGTAGTGTCAAGCACGGTTAGTACTTAGAAACACCGGTTACTGTAAGTGACCTCCTACAATCCAAAGTATATTTCAATTTTAAATAACCAATAAAGGGTAAGTAAACCATAAAAAACAAACAAATCAATTAATCTGTTGTTATGCCTGCTCCTTATTTTTAATTTTCTACAATTTGAAAGTTTCAACAAACAGATCAGTCATTCTATCTTTAATATGTTCTTCCCTAAGTAAATGTTATTGCTGTTAATTTCTTTAACAGTTTGGGGAACATTTTACATAAAAGAGTTTTATATTAAAAAAAAATATTAGTTTTAAGCCATTTGAAAGATATACTAGAACAACATGAAACAAAATCCCTTGTTTCATGTTTAAACTTTCTATTATATGCTACAGAAACAAAATTCCTGAAAATGCAGAAAGGTGTTTTCAAAATGAAAGTATAATTAATTTGATTTCTTTTCTTACTAAAATTCACCTAATACAAGGCCCAACTGTCATTTAAAGTAGAGGGTTATTGAATGAAGTGTATGATATGAACATAAGAGGATGAAATAGGAAGTGATGATTACAAAGATATGGCAGGTAGATAATGGTTGACCCTACACTTGAAGAGGTTAAGATTGTACTGTTTGGGGAAGCATCTATATAGGAAGGTGTCCCATAAATTAACAGTTCTTGGGGGAAAAGCTTTTAGAATGTAATGCTCTTCTTACCAAAAGAATATGTAACAAATGATGTTAATTCAAGCCTATGGATGTAGCAGAACATATCTTGGCTGCAAAGTTCTGAATTAGTGGCACAAAAATATAGAGCTTGTCTGAACATTTGCTATGGAAGTAGCATAGAGTAGTGATACACTTGAAATGTTTTTGTTGTGGGAATGGATGGAAAATAAGCCATCAACTACATGGCCACATTCTAACTGTTTCCTTTTTGTAATTCTTCAACAAATTCAGACATTACCTGGTGATGATTATGATATGAAAATCACATAATAATCCCATTAAAACAGTATATAATCAAAATTAAAATAAATTACTCAAAATTGTTAAATTATGCCTATCTCTCTTCACATTTGAAAAGACTTGATGACAAGGGCCTTTGTCAAATAAATTATTTCTTATTTTTTTTGAAAATGCTTCTTATTTATATTTACCACATATTTTAAGTTGATCAACATTGCTTCTTAATAAAACTGTGTCTTTTACCACAGAATAAAATAAAAAAAAAAAACATTGTCAAGTGAGAAAAAGCATTAGATTTTTAAAATTATGATATTACTTTGCTGTATACTATTTATGTTATGCGGACTATTGTCCTCATCTTTGTTGCCATATTTATCACAACATTTCAGCCTTTGTATGCTCTGGCCTTCTTCAGGTGGTTGGAATGTCGAACTGAACCCTTTATTTTGCTCGCTGGGGTAGACTGTTCTAGTTCCACGTGCCTTGTTTAATAAATGTCAATTACCAGTTATCTCTTGTTAATTCACCTCTCCAGGTTCTCCACTGCCTTAAGGACACATGGCACAGTGGATAAAAGCATTGGTTAAATCCAGTGACAGTGTGAGTTCAATACCTGGTTAAGGCAGTGGAGAGGGGAATTAACAGGACATAACTGATAACTGACATCCATTAGACATGAAACTAGAACAGACTACCCTAGTGAGCAAAATAAAGGGTTCAGTTCAACATTCCAACCACCTGAACAAGGCCAGAACATACAATGGCCAAAATGTTGCGATAAATATGGCAACAAAGATGAAGACAATAGTCTGAATAATATAAATAGTGTACATAATACCTCATCTCAGAAATACAGACAGATGCTTTGATGTAAATAAAAAAATTATATTCTGAATGCTTGGAATTTTTTCATATCTTAAAATTGTAAATATTTATTTTTCATTTATCATGAGATGAATCTGTTAATGCATTGTGAAATAATAACTAGTTTTATAGCATCATCAACTAAAGTGTCAACATATATATATATATATATATATATATATATATATATATATACACATATATTTAATCAGTGTCACCCTGAACAAGGCAGTACAGCCACTAACACACAAGGGGTTACAGGGTGTGGAGGTATTAGGACCAGAAACATTAGTAATGAGTAGAAAGGATAAAGAGAATTTAGGAGGACAATAGATAACAATTGGCATTGCATTAAAATTCTTGCAGATAAAAAAATGGTAGGAAAGTGACTAAAGCCAAGCCACCAGCTCAGGGCCAATAATATTGCTTATTCTTCTTTGGATCTTATCAAGGTAAATTGCAGATCCACCAGACTATATATAGTAGCAATATTCTAAGCATGGGCGAATGGTAGACTTATAGATATGCAAGATAGATTCAGGAGAGAAAAATTGTCTCACTTGACACAGTGAACCAACTTTCTACACAGTTGACATAGCAATGGATTCAATGTAGTCTTTCTGTTTCATGTCAGCCGAGAATATAAGCCTGAGAAGATACAATGAGTCACTTTCCTGGAGGCCAACATCAGCCATGCTGATGAAAAGCAGAGAGGGGTCTCTCAGATTATTAATAGAGAGAAGTTTAGTTTTGGATGCATTCAAATTGACAAGCCATTCCTTGATCCAATTAGCAACAGATTTTGCCCCAGTTAACGATGATAGTGAGATTGTTTTGTACATTAGCTGATATATGTATATATATATATATATATATATATATATATATATATATATATATATATATATATATATTTGGTTGATAGATGTGAGTTTGTGACCCTGGGTTTCACGCTTTTAGCGATTGTCTGATGATCGCTAAAGCGTGAAAACCCAGGGTCACAAACTCACATCTATCCAACTAAATATGTTAGCTCTATCTCTGATATTGAGCGCTTTATAATAAGTACGTGCATATAATATATAAATAATTATACATATATATATTTATTTATATTTATATACACTTTTATATATATATATATATATATATATATATATACACACACACACACACACACACACAGAGGAAGGTGTTGTCTTCCCTATCTTATAGAAATAAATTCAGCCAGGTGATGTATGGCTAACTGAATAGGTAAATACAGAGATAGTGTTGCTGTGGCAAACATGGGATCCAGATAGAATTTAACAGTTTTACCATAGAATGATTGTTGAGAGTTAGAAAGATGGTTCACTTTATCACTGAGATGGCAAATCATCTATATGTTATTTACACTGGGAAATACCAGAAATTTGAATCAAATTTAATGTCAATAAGGAATTTTTATTCTAAGAGGTGTTGATCTGTGGTAACCCCAATATGTAATGGGATCACCTTAAAAGATACCAAAGAAGGCATTGCACTTTATGTCACACCGGAGTATCACAAGAGTCACATGCATCAGAGGGTTGACCTGAAAGGGGCTTCATCACTACCAGTTGCAGAATCTGGCCTCAGAGGATGTCAGTGGCTACCTCCTGACATGTAAACAGGTGGCCAACCCTGCTGAGCTTAGAATATATACACAAGGAACAACCAGATGCCAGGAAGTTATATAAGCATCCCACCCAAAAGCTAAAAGCCAAAATCACATCCTTGCAAGAAGATCCATATTCAAAGAAAGTCCTTACATTCATACACCATCATGCTGACACTAATTGACAAAGCCAAAATGAGAATAAACAATAATTTTATATATGAAAGATTTAGTCTTAGATTCTTTTTAGTTTTTACAGTGATAACATTACATACATTCTTCTTGGTCAACAGTAACAATAGTATTATATTTGAAATCTGAACAGACATCAGGGACATGCGAAACTGGGGCATGCCCATAGATAATGAAAGAACTAGACTACTTACTAGCAGCAGTCAGAATAGTAACCTCCCAACAAAGGGGAATTTTATATTAAATTACATCCCATTTCAACACAGGTGCCACTCAATCAATTAATCATGTTCTTAAATAGCTTTGTCAAATCAAAATTTTAATATGGATGTCATGCAAACTCATTCAGAAATATCTAAACTGTCAGCTGTATGCAACTGCTTTTTCAGATCTATGGTTAAAATAGCATTATGTAAATAAAGCCTGTAAGTATTAGTGAGGACAATCCTACTTAGAACATCATAGACTGCTGATACAGAATCACAAAGAAAGAACTACATAAAATAGCAGAAGGCACAATATTTGAAGGCTTTCAACAAGAGAAACAACTAAAATGAATAGCAAATGTAACTCAGAAAGAAAATAATGGCATAAACAGGATGCTTATATTCCACATGACTTGAAACAAAAAGTTATAAAGGAAGCTTCCTTCAATATTGGAAAGTGCAATAACAGTTACTGGACTTGAGAAACCTATTTTCCTGAAAAATTGTTTTAAGAGAGAGATTTTGTAAATTTCAATTGAAAGTATCACTGGTTTTTTATCAATAAATGTCAAATGTTTCCTCATAATGAAAATGGTAATATTACCAATTACCATTATCACATGGTAATGGATTCTCAGACATGTGTATGTAGGGAAATCTACCAAGAAATATTGTTTCTTGTTTGTGTTCATGTGTCTTTTTTTAATTACTTTTTCAGAATTCCTCTTTTCTTTTCTCCCATTCACATCTCCCCCATTCTCTATGCCTTTAATTCTTTTTACCTCTTTTTCCTTTCAAATCTCTATTATTCCCTACTCCTTCAATTGTCTTTCTTTTCCATCCTGATGCCATCAGTTTTCAACTCAGTATCTATGCTGATGATACAATTATTTACTGTTGTCTAAATGGTAAGTCTGAGCGGTTCAATAAGGTCACTCTGGCAGCTGATCTAAAAAAAATGATCTACAATCTGTTGTTAATTGGAGCAAAAAATGGCTTGTTAATTTTAATGCCTCCAAAACAAAACTACTCTCTTTTAGTCATCTGAGAGAATCCTTTTTGCCTTCCATGAGCATAGCTGATGCTAACTCATGATGAGAATGACTCATTGTACCTTCTCAGGCTAATGTTTTCAAATGACATGCAATGGAAAGATTATATTGAATCAATTACTAGGTCTGCTGCTAGGAAAGTTAGTTCACTGCATTCACAATTTTTCTCACCAGAATCTATCTTGCACATTGATAAGTTTACCATTCATCCATGTATTGAATATTGATGCCACATCTGGTTTGGTGCTTCTGCTATATATTTAGATATTCTTGATAAAATACAAAGAAGAATCTGCAGTGTTATTGGTCTTGACCTGGCATCTCAGCTTCAATCACTTTCCCATCACTGTAACATAGTTTGCCTGTGTCTTTTCTGTATATATACTTTCATGGTAATTGTTCTGATGAACTTTCTCTATGATACCTAGACTTTATGATTTTAAATGCAGTGCTAGAGTGACAGCAATTTATCATCATTTTACCATTGAAATTGCTACATGTAACCATAAGTTCTATGCTAACAATTTTTTCTATCACACTTCTTGCCTGTGGAACTCTTTTCTTTTCATGTCAATCATTATCTTTTTTCTATTTAATTCCTGTTCTCTTATTGTTCTTTCTCTTATTATTATTTTTTCTCATATTCTCTCACACTCAGTAATTCTTGCATCTTAGTGGCTTCATTGCCTTGCTTGGGATGAAATGATTAAAAAAATAGAATTTTGAATTCTCCTTCCCCCTCTCTCTTTCCATATACCCTCTCTCTCTCTCTCTATTCTTTTTAAAACAAATGACACCTTTTTTTTGTCATTTACTATTATCTTATTCCTTCCCACTTGACTCTTCCATTACTATTTTTTCTTCCTCTTCTCTTTAATTTTATCTCCTTTTTTAAAAATGGCTCTTTCCTCCACTAACTCCACACTACTTTAACGATGATTTATTTCTTGTCTGTTTGTATAGTTTGCTTTCCTTCATTTTTGCTGCCTTTCTAATTTTTATTTTATTCTTCTCCTCAATTTTAGATTCTTCCCTTTTTTCTCTATTTCTCTTTTTTTTACTACTTTTTTCTCTTTCACTCCTTACCTTACATCTTTCTAATCTCCTCACCTGCCTTTCTCATCAACAGCACTTTACTCCAATCCCTCACCTCACCTCCTGTTACCTCCTTTCACTCTTATCTCTTTTTCCTTTCTTTCATCCTTTCGTATTAAGTTTGAAAATTTCCTCCTTTGAGTCATCCCTCTACTTAAGAAAATCCTTCTTTTTCATATCATTCTTGCATATATTTTGGAGCATGGTTTATTGGGGTTACTGGCACCTTGTGACATTGAATTAGTTGCTAATTTCTAAAAATATTTTTAGATTCAAACTGAACAATTTATTTTCCTATTCCTTTTCCTTTTTATTTTTTTAAGTCCTTGTCTTTCTATGAACACCAATTTTTATTTTTCCCCTTTTCAAAATGAAGAAAGCAAATCAAACCATATGAAAATTGTACTTTTCCTGTTTGAGTAATTTTAACAAAAAAAGAAATAATTCAATAATTTCAATCAGGAATACTGACAAGTTATTTTTAAAAATAAAAAAAAATTCATTTTTTTTGGTCTAAAATTTGATCAAATTGTATTGCAATTTACTTTCATAATAATTTTATGAAAAATTAATTTTATTAAATAAATTTGAAAATTTTCTAATTTATATTTGATTATACAAAATTATCAAATCACTTATGAACTGACATGAAATTGAGTTGTATAAGTAAATACATAAAACCTTTGAAAGAGCCAAAGTACTTAACCCTGCCATATTATGAATCCATATTAGACATCCTACAACACCTGTTTGAATTCTTCTTGAATGTCTGGGTGCTTAAAGGTGAGATATTAGGAAAAATGTTTGGCTTCAAAAGACATGTTCCTAAATATTTACTCTATAAATATACTCCTTGTAGCAAAAAACCATAGATATAAATTTCCATTCTAAGAACAGAAAATACAGATAATGTTGTGTTGGCATTTAACCAAATTCTATAAACATTAATTGTAAGAAGACAGAATATATAGCTATGTGAAAAAGAAACAACCCAAGGTGTGAGTTACACACTGGGGATGTAGGTGTAAAAATTTAACAAAATTGGCATTGTAGTAAGAAATGATGAAAAGTGTGAAATAGAAGTTCAAAGACACGTAGGAATGGTGAAAATTATTTCAGAGAGTGAGCAATGTAGTAAAGGATGGAAAAATAACATAAAATATGATGAAAAGAGAGTTGGATTGTCATGTAATATTTACTTCCATCTATAGCAATGAATGCTGAACAATTTCATCACAAATTAAGAAAAATGCTTGAAGGAACCAAGATGTGGTATAACCAGCAAATGTCAAAAATTCCTTTGACAGATCATGTGGTTAATGAGGAAGTCTCAAGGAGAACAGGAACTACAAAGAAACTGTCAACTATGCTGGCGCTTGTGAACCCACCAAAAATTGAATTCACCATCCTTAGCTAACAAATTTTTGAAGATATCAGACTCCTACTCCTCAGCTTAATGAATGTGTTCTAAGCAGTGGCAGTAGCAGGCTTGTCTCCCTTTCTGAGCAAGTAGATTTAACCTGTAGGTATTATTTATGTTTACTGAAATTCTCTCAGGAGAGATTTTTATATTATTTGGTCAAGTGATGTCACTCAGTTTATTGAGCAAGATCCTGTTTTATCAGAAACTATTGCTAACAATCAAAAAGAGACAGCTGAAATATTTTGTACAGATAATGAGGAAAGAAAGCTTGGAAAATTTAACCTAAATTAATCTACCTGACAAATTTGAGCAAGTAGCCACAAAAAGGTATCATAAGGAAGAAAGTAGTACTGAGAGTAACAAAAGGTGGGAAGCTATGGAGAACCATGGTCACCCATGTCCTGAAGTGACACTGTACATTAAAAGAGAAATTCTTCTTGGTCTTTTGAACAGGTGCAGATGTTTATCTCTTGCTTCCTTTTTAAGATTGGGTTTCTGGTTCCTTCTAAAGTTTACTTCAATGCTATACTTCTAACATCTCTGTCTAAACTCTGAAATTTTATTTACTATTTATTTTATTTTTCTTCAATAGGAATAGATATGTTCACTTTTTGTCCAGTTTTCTTTTGAAGAGGAGTAGAGGTTTATCTCTTGTTTCTTGTTTAGGAATGGTTTCCAGTTCATTCTAAATTCTTTTCATTCTCTTTCACTCCCAATAGACTCTTAGTGGTATTTTCACTTTGTCTGGGGTGGATTTATTATAACAAAAAAATAACCTACATAACAAGTTTGGGTTATTGGACAGAGGAACATATTACCACAAAGAGGGATCATAATGAAGACAGTAGTACTGAGATAACCGTGGAAGCTGTGGAGAACTATGATAGGGGCTCATGCCACATAAAGGAAGAGAGAGATATCACTGATAGGATTTAATATATATATATGAGAGAGACAAAGAGAGATAGTCTGGTGTCAGAGAAAAAAATAATGAAACAATAATCAAGGTTGTATTTTAACACCAGCTGCAATTGAACCCAATATATCTGCCTTCTCTGTTACGTCTGTTCCTTTTGCACTAATACCTTTGGAAAAGGCATGAATCCATTTCTTTCTCTCCCCAGCTATGGGTTAAGTAACTAGATATTTTAGCCTTAGGTGGCAGCCAGTCTAAGAAAAGGACTGATCTGAATTTAAAAAAAAACACATGGATAAGGCTACAAAAAATATTGTCTAAGTGTTAACATACAAATTGTTTATGGCAGTGAATGCTGGACAATTTCATCCTGAAGCAAAGAGATGAAATGACAGACATGTAGTTCTAGCAATGAATGTTGAGAATGCCATAGACAGAGCATGTGATGATTGAGGAAGTTTTAAGGAGAGTAACCACTTCCAACAAACTGCCACTAATCATCAGAAAGGAATAGCTGAAATCTTTTGAATACATAGCAAGGAAATAAGTCTTAGAGAATTTATCATTCTCAGAACATACCAAAGGCAAGAGAAACTGATGAAAACAGTGAGTAATTAGACAGAGGAACAGGTGGCCACAAAGAGTGATTATAATGGTGAAAGTAGTACTGAGAGTAACAAAAGGCAAGAAGTTGTGGAAGACCATAATCACCCATGTCCTGAAGTGACACGGCACATTATAAAAGAAATAGAACCTTTCTGACAAGTTTGAATAAGTGGACAGAGGAACAAGTAACTACAAAAAGGTATCATAATGGAGAAAGTATTGCTGAAATTAACAAAAAGTAGGAAGCTGTAGAGAACCATGATCCCCCATGTCCTGAAGTGACACAGCACATTGAAAAAAAGTAGGGAAGAGGGGGAAAAAAAAATTTAAGAAAAATTATGAGTTAACCAGTTATTGATCCCCACTCTTCAGAATTTGATCGAGGATAGTAAAATAATTTTTATGCACAACAGAACATTGTAACACCAACAAGATTTTCAAACAATAAAATTGATGACTAATAAATGTTAAAAATATTCAAACACAACTAAACAAATATGTGAGAAATCTCTGAGAGTTAAATACAGGGTTCAATGGGTAAATTTTCTCCATTTTTTTAATTTCACACATGTACGATATCTATTTTTGATTTTGTCAACTGCACCATATAATAAGGTTAGTTGGGCACCATCTGTAAGCAAAAAGAGCACTAGGACCGAATTCACTCTGATGGAAATTTGGAAACAGCATGCTGTACTGCTTGGCATTTGTGCCAGAAGCTCCAATACAAACATTTCAGAGTGTTTTGGTGTCAATTTGAGGGCAGTGCAGAAGATTCAGAAAGAGCTGGATGAGTCTAATGGTGATTACAAAGGTACGGCATCTCAGAAAATTCACTCTGATCATTCTGATAAGAAAAGAATTCCTAAATTTATTGTTGAGGGTCTCATACAGAGGTTTACATCAAGTGTCTTGAGGAGGTAGTGCTGCCCTGTGTTAATAGAGTGGGTGCTGGAAGACCCTATGTCTGGCAACAGGACTCTGCACCATGTCACACAAGCAGGAGAACCCAATCATGGCTGTCAGACAATTTATGCTACTATGTCACCCCTTACATCTGGCCACCTAACTCTCCAAACTCCAAGCCCCTTGATTATTATGTGTGGGATGCAGTTGAGTGGGAGACCAACAAAACTCCTTATAATACCAAAGATTAACTGAAGGCAAAGATTAGGGCAACATTCACCAACTTAAACAAGGAGATCATTCAGAAGAGCTGCAGGAGATTCTGGAGGCCATGGTTGAAGCCATTTTATTGAATAAATTTACTCTTTAGTATTTTAACATATTTTTGTATAATTTTGGTAAATATACCTGTTAAAATAAGATGTCAGTGTTATTTTTATTTTTGTATAATTTAGATGACAATTTATCCATTGCACCCTGTAAATTCACCTGAAACTAATGAAGAAAATTTTATTTGACATGATCTCCTTCCTTGTTAATGCACTTACCCTAGGACTTCTCCATAAATTAAACAGACCAAGCATTATTCAGTGAACATTTCAAATCAAAATTTATTGAAAACAATGTCTGCTTTACTTATTCTTCTTTTCAAGATATAAAGTTGATTTTATGATTTCAAAGACTGATTAGCATCATCCACTTGTTAACCAATTGGTTGATGCTTTAAACTGAAGTGACAAGTGAGTAGGATGTTATTACTCATCCTTCCAATAAAAATATGGTGTCAGGCTGTGGATTTATTGATCTATACTCATCTATAACAGATTATTGGTTTATAGAAATTTCTTTGGTTTGTGCTGTTTGGAATACCAACATTAGCATTTACAGTTACCTTTCAAAACATGTTTTGCTGTTTCATGCTTATATGAGTTCATAATAAACGATAATGATGCTGAGATTATAACAAATATAAATTCCATATTTGGTAACAATCTTGTTAATAAATAAAACAATAATATTTTGGTTCAGATAGTTTATAAGCAAAGTTTCCAATTCAGAAAAGGAGAGGCCAGTTAAAATAATTTTTTTTTTTTACAGCTTATCAGGTTGTTGCAGGTTATTTAAAGCCAGAAAATATTTTTAGATTGTAAGAAATTTTTGGAGATAATATTGATACAAGTCTACTAATTAACCCATAGCTAGGCGAAGAAGAAGTGAATTCATACCTTTCTCAAATATACAATATAACGAACATGACTGGAATTGAA